AAAAAAACTTTAATAAAATTTGGGATTGATAAAGTTTGGCCTGCTTGCTGAAAGAAAGTTATCATGAAATAACTAGTTTAAACTTTTCAGACTTGAGCGTTCGCCAACAACGCCACAAATGTTTACGTTGTGGGTTACAGTTACATGTATGTAATGCTCTTTAAATTTAATTTCTGTTTTGAAGAGAATTTCAAACTTTCTTGCAATAGTTTCATTTATTTTTTATGTTCTCTTTCTGATAATGACAACAATTGGAGATATATTTTTGTATTCAATTTTGTTAAACATTGAAGAATATATATATAAGAATAATAATAAGAATTTTTTATCTAATTTAATAGTACAGCAAGTACCCGTACAGCAAGTACACGTGACATGTTGTACCGGTTGAGACGAGCTGAATCAAAAGGTTTTGAGTATGAACATGTTTGCTAGAACACTGCTGCCGTAGTGAACTGCTTCTGAAAAATTGAAATTTTCATAATATTTGAAATTTATATTTGTTGGGCCAACATTAACATTACTTTTTTGGACGATTTTCTTTCACAATTATAGCAAAAATATGTTTCTTATTTTTTGTCGAGCAGAAGCAGAATTTCGGTCGATGAAAGAAAAAATGAGAGAGATTAGAGCAGAAGAACAACGAACTAGTTACTAATTAACATAGATTAATATAGCTTATTCAACTAATACTAATATAGTTATATAGTGCATAGTTGCAAACATTTCTTTATTTATTTACAACGCAGCTCTGGCGAGCACTGAGCCGTTTGCAATATCATTCCATGCTTGTAATGAAAATTTTTCGCCCAAAGGCTGCAATATCAACACGGGGTGGGGTACGCAAATATTTTGCACGCACCGCATCATAAGCGCATGGCGTACAATGGTCTTTGAGCTTTGGCACAGATCCTATTCGAAGTTGGTCACCACGCGATAACAACAACGCGAAGCTTCGATTTGTATTACAATTATTTCAAAACATACGCTTGTTATCAATACACCAATCTACATTTTATTGTCAATCATGCACACAGATATTCGTTTATGCACAAGTATATATACACACACTTAACTCTGCACACACACACAGAGAGAGAGAGAAAGAAAGAGACAGACAGACAGACACCCGCTAATAACAGTACATTTTTATACAAAAACTATTATTCAAACCGCAAAACGCATCTCTTAACAGAGCGGCAACTTTAACACGATTAATATATAGGCACGCATGTTCATTTGTGCTATAAATATCCATATTAAAATTACTCATTTGTATGAATGATATATACGTTTACATACATGTGTTTGTGTGTTTATGTGTGTCTTCTATGTATATATATATGTGTGTGTGTGTGTGTGTGTGTGTGTGTGTGTGTGTGTGTGTGTGTGTGTGTGTGTGTGTGTGTGTGTATGGTGTGTGTGTGTGTGTGTGTCTTGTGTAGAAATATTTGAAATAACTCAGGCTCGGCTGGGCCCGGCTTACTATTTTTTTTGTTTGGACTGTTGCGTTGAAATAAAATATATTGAGCGAGCCTATTATAATTATTATTAGTAGTAGTAGTAGTAAGAGTAGTAATTGTTGTTGTTGTTGCTGCTGTTGCTGTTGTTGCTGCTGCTGCTGTTGCTGTTGTTTTTGTTGTTGTTGTTGTTATTGTTGTTGTTGTTGTTTTTGTTGTTGTTGTTGTTTTTGTTGTTGTTATTGTTGTTTTTGTTGTTGTTGTTGATGTTGTTGTTGTTGTTGTAATAATAGTATAATAGTAGTAGTATTTTTCACTATTATTATCGTACGTGTCATAATAGAAGTTATAAATATTATTATAGTTAACAAGAACAATAATGAGGATAATATTAATTACTTTCTCTTTTTAAACATATAAAATGATGGACGTCGAATTTTATATATTGAATTTCACATAAAATATATAATAATTATTTATGTTTTGTTTTAAAAAATTTTCTGGCCTTACATTTTCTTTATTTTAATTTATTTTTGAATAAACATGTTTGCAATTTTAATTGATTGTAATTAATTACTTTTTAATAATAATTCCTTTAAAGAAATGAAATGAAAAAGAAATACGAACCTCGCTTTTTTGCATTCGCATGCAATCTTTGATGCTTCTAATTGGTGGTGGCCAAGTGATTCTCTGTGGGATAATTTAATTTTAAATCATTGAAAAACTTTCAAATTCCATTTCGTTCGCTCTTCTAAGTTGAAAAATATTCAAATTTTTTGAAAATGTTTTTCAAATGCTTTAACATTCAAACCATGATGAAGGTCAACATTCACAAGATAAAATTTTTGCCATTTTAAATTATACTGAGCCTAAAATGTTAAGAAATCCTTCCACTTCTACAAACAAAACCAACAAAAATAATGAAATAGACATCTAAATTATAAAATAAAGATTTTTCATGACATTATTTCAAAACAAAAAAAAAATCAAATGCAAAAAACGAAAATGCGAGAGATCATCAGCTTTTAATTCGTGAAAATAAAGTTGTTCGTGATTTTTATACTTCAATGAAACTTTTATCATATTCTACCATGTGAAATAATATATTATAAACTTAATGTTGGGAGGTTTCAGATTAGTAATATTTGGAAATATGTTTTTAAAATTTTGATCTTTGCGTTAGCATGAAAGAAACTTTTTTTATCTGTAAGCATAATAAATTTACAAAAGCCTTCCAAGCAGCAAAATGAAACAACAAAAGTCTGAAAAACTGGGATTTTTATGTCGTTGATTAGCAACCGAGAAAAATTTAAATTAAAACGAATAAAATTTTATACTTTTTTCTTGCGAATGGCAAATTCGACGTGGAGGAAAAAAAATGGAAAAAGGGAGAAAATATAACATGTGAAAAACCTGATCAAGTTTTAATTTATTCATAGTTATTTGCCGGCTTTGTACTAGAAAGTGCTCTAAATAAAATGTCCTTTTTTTCTTCCCTATTATGGGATATTAATTTTTTTAAACAAAGTTTTGAAAATTTTTGATTCTTTTGAATAATTAAAGTTGTGATCTTTTGTTGAGTAAAAAATAGACGACTGGAACTGAAATTTTATGATTGTAAGGTTAGTTAGTGAGTGAATAAATACAGTCATCAAATTAGAAGCAAAATACACGCGATACTGAACAGACATTTCTTAATAGCAGTTAAACAGTTCAATTAAATTCACTCGA